GAAAACAGTCAAGTGGAGGGAGAGCAGTTATCTTTACCAGAAAACACATCTGGCTATCTCAGCCTTTCTGGAAATTAAACTGAATAGCTATGTGAACTCTTTGCAGCAATTTGAAACCAAGAAACTGAACAGAAATGCTCGAATTCTTGCAGGCAAAACGTGTAGCAATTAATTTTTTCTGTAAGGGAAGTCTATTAGAACATGAAATATTAAAAATTCTGAATCTCTGCTCTCATGGCTTATTTAAAACACTGAAGAACAGCCTATTTTAGAGAAAATTCACTGTTCAAATAAAAAGCACACTGAACTGATTTCATTGGATACACAGGCTCCACAATGTCTTTTGTGGAGATAAAACAGAAAGGCCTTCACTAAAAATCAGGTTATAAGAAAGCCAATGTTTGCCTCAAATATAAATGTAATGAAATCTAGATGGACATTTATCCAGTAATTTTAATGTCAACTTTTGTTGAAACATCAGATGAAAAAGAATGATTCAGGCTGATGCGAAGGGACAAAGTCAGAATTAAGGGGCATGTATTTGTTTTACAAACAAAAGCCTCCTGGTGATGAAGACACATCAGTTTACCAATTCAAATCTTCACCATCAGCTAGGACTCATCTAGACTAGCTGGAACAAGCTTTCATGATATAGTCAATCCATAGTTTCACTTATCACAAGTGGGATAAGGTGGGATCACTATTGTTAGCAGAACGTAGTACCTTGGAAATGAGTGCTAGAGCAGACTGTGCATTACTGCATGGACAATAAAGAGCAAATCTGTATTTATGGGTACATGTGCTAAATTATCTCAAAAAATATCTTCTTCCATCTCTAATTTCAATGACTCTAGAAATTGCTCTCTTTCACGGACACCCCCTTGTCGTGGGGAAAGAGCTTGCGTGCCCTTGTGAAGTTGGGAGTTATGCTGGTGGTAGCTTATGCTTCCGGTAGGGTTTCCCATGCCAGTCAGCTCTCAAATGAAGGGTCAGACAAAGTGTGTCCATGGGCAGGACGGGCTCACTAGCCTTCAGGCAACCATCCTAGGAGAAGGACAACTCCAACTTCAAACCCGGGCAGATGGAGCTCGTGTAGTCCTGTAAGGCCATCCATCTAAGAGAAGGATACTCTAATTAAACCTACGACCTGAGGACTTTGCTGTCACCGTCCAAGCTCGCTAGGCCCTGGCAGATAAACCTCAGGTGTAAAGGGTGAGGCCAGTTCTGCGCACGCTGTGCCTCACCTAAAATAAATCCACTGCGCAGGCCCAAAGGGTTTACCCACACTTGCAAAGCCCTGCAGCGACAGGCGAGGGACGAAACGGCAGGTGATAAGGTGCACTGGAAGTCGCAGACCCAACCCTGCATGCAGGCGGTTCAGGACATTGGTCGCTCAAGTCTGACCCAGGAGATGACAGTCTTGTTCGGCAGCATCCTGAATGACCAAGCAGCCTTTTTCAAGGACAGCACTGCTTGCTCCATATGGAGAGAGGCCTAGAAAAGGTGGCCTAACCAAAGCTCATCTCCCCCTCCACCTGGTTGGCTAGCCGCGGCCAACGGGCATCTTCTATTGCGGTCAATTAAAAACAAAGAGACAAAGGCATACACCTGCCTCCAAAGGTGTGTCCAGATTGACACTCGCATGTTGGAACATCAGAACCATGCTTGATACAGTGAACAGTGGGCGTCCTGAGCGCCATTCTGCGCTAATTGCCCATGAATTGTCACGTCTTAACATCGATATCGCTGCACTCAGTGAAGTTCGCCTTCATGAGGAAGGTAGCCTCAAAGAACATGGTGCTGGCTATACACTCTACTGGTCAGGCAAACCCAAAACTGAAAGTCATCTTTCTGGAGTCGGCTTCATGATTAAAAACTCCATAGCCTCCAAACTTGAAAATCTGCCGATAGGTCATTCCGACCGTATTATCTCCTTACGTCTTCCACTACACAATAAGCAACACGTTGTTCTTTTCAGCATATATGCTCCAACTCTGCAAGCTGACCCTGCAGAAAAAGAAAAATTCTACTCCGACCTGCGTCACCTCACTCAGAAAGTTCCTATAGAAGATAAGATCATAATCCTTCGTGACTTCAACGCCCGAGTAGGAAAGAACTTTGAAGCCTGGAAAGGAGTACTAGGCAAGCACGGTGTTGGCAACTGCAATGAAAACGGTCGTCTCTTACTAGAGTTCTGTGCAGAGCAACAGCTTACCATCACCAACACTATCTTCCAGCAGAAAGACAGCTGGAAGACAACCTGGATGCATCCACGATCTAAACATTGGCACCTTATTGATCATGTTTTAGTGCGCCAGAGAAATATTCGTGATGTCTGCCAGACCAGAGTGATGCCTAGTGCAGAATGCCAAACAGACCACCGCCTTGTGCGTTGCAAACTTAATTTCCACTTCAAGCCCAAACCTAAGAGGGGCGGCATTCCAAGGAGGAGGCTCAATGTTGATAATCTTCAAATAGCTGCAGTGAGGGACAGCTTTCAGGCTAACCTTCAAACTAGGCTTGAAGACCAACTTATAGATTCTTCTCCTGAAGCGCTTTGGCAACATATCAAAAACAGCATCCTCCAGTCCTCCGTAGAATCCACTGGGTTCTCCTCAAAGAAAAACAAAGACTGGTTTGACAATAGCAACCAGGAGGTCCAGGAATTGCTGACAAAAAAGAGATCTGCTTATCAAGCAGACCTCGCTCAGCCACTCTGCCATGTAAGAAAAGCAGCCTTTCGTCTTGCATGTAGCAAACTCCAACAGAAACTTAGAGACATCCAGAACAAGTGGTGGCTCAACCTAGCAGAAAAGACTCAACTATGTGCAGATTTGGGTGACCACAGAGGATTCTATGAGGCTCTGAAGGCAGTGTATGGACCCACATTCCAGGTTCAAAGCCCCTTACTTGGTGCAGATGGCCAAACGCTTCTTACAGATAAAATCTCCATCCTGAATCGTTGGTCTGAACATTTTCAAACCCTCTTTAGTGCTAATCGTGTAGTCCAAGGCGAAGGAATCCAGCACATTCTGCAACATCCGGTGAAAAACGAATTGGATTTAGCCCCTACCATGGGAGAGACTCTTAAGGCCATACAGCAGGTGAAAACTGGCAAGGCAGCTGGGGTTGACGGAGTCCCACCTGAAATATGGAAGCATGGAGGCCAAGCACTCCACGCTAAATTTCATGAGCTAGTTGTGTGCTGTTGGGAACAAGGCAAAATACCGTCAGACTTTCGTGACGCAATCATCGTCACTCTGTATAAGAAAAAAGGTGTCAAGTCAGACTGCTCAAACTACCGTGGTATAACTCTGCTCTCCATTGTTGTTAAAATTCTTGCAAGAATACTATTGAACAGACTAGTACCTGCCATCGCAGAAGAACTTCTACCTGAAAGTCAGTGTGGTTTCAGGGCTAATAGAAGTACCACAGACATGGTATTTGTTCTCAGACAATTGCAAGAAAAGTGTAGAGAACAGAATAAGGGGTTATATGTAACTTTCGTTGACCTCACCAAAGCTTTTGACACTGTGAGCAGGAAAGGCTTGTGGCTGATCTTAGAACGATTAGGTTGTCCCCCCAAGTTCCTGAAAATGATTATTCTGTTACATGAGGATCAGCAAGGCCAAGTCAGGTATGGTGATGCACTCTCTGAGCCTTTCCCAATAACCAATGGTGTGAAACAAGGTTGCGTTCTCGCACCGACCTTATTCACAATCTTCTTCAGCATGATGCTCCAAAGGGCTACAGCAGACCTCGACGAACAAGATGGCATTTATATTCGATATCGTACCGATGGTAGCCTATTCAATCTAAGGCGACTGAAGGCCCACACTGAGACCCTAAACCATCTTGTCCGTGAACTGCTCTTTGCTGATGATGCCGCCCTTGTTGCCCACACAGAAGCAGCTCTGCAGCGTTTAACATCTTGCTTTGCGGAGGCGGCTGAGGTTTTTGGGCTGGAAGTCAGTTTGAAGAAGACAGTAGTCCTCTACCAACCTGCACCACAAGAAGATTATCGCCATCCCCATATTACCATCGGCGAGTCAGAGCTTAAGACAGTTCAGCAGTTCAGCTATCTGGGAAGCATCATTTCCTCGGATGCCACGATCGACAAAGAGATAGACAACAGAATAGCAAAGGCATATAGAGCCTTTGGAAAACTCCATAAAAGAGTCTGGTGTAATAAACACCTGAAGAAAAGTACAAAGATCAGTGTCTACAGAGCCATTGTATTGTCTACTCTTTTATATGGGTCTGAATCATGGGTCATCTACCGTCATCACCTGCGACTCCTGGAACGCTTTCATCAGCGCTGCCTCCATACAATCCTAAACATCCATTGGACTGACTATGTGTCTAATGTCACTGTCCTCGAACAGGCAGGGGTCACCAGCATCGAGGCCACATTGCTGAAACTGCAGCTGCGCTGGGCAGGGCACGTCTCTAGAATGAAGGATCACCGCCTCCCCAAGATCGTGTTTTATGGTGAACTTGCCACTGGTAGCCGCAAGAGAGGTGCCCCAAAGAAGAGATACAAGGACTCCCTGAAACAATACCTTAGCCTTGGCCATATTGACTACCATCAGTGGTCCACCTTGGCCTCCAATCGGGAGACTTGGAGGCACACCATACATAATGCCGCTGACTCCTTTGAGAGTTCACGAAGAACTAGTCTCGAGGAGAAAAGACAACGCAGGAAGAATCGTGTCCCACCTGTTCCACCCAAGGAGACCTTCTGCTGTGCTTTTTGTAGCCGGATTTGCCTATCCCACATTGGCCTTCTTAGTCATCAGCGCGCTTGTAGTAAGCATGGGTAAATGCCCTTCCCAAATCTTCGTTCGCGAAGTCAAGCCATGACCATGATGATGAGAAATTGCTCAAAACTTACCAGGAGTAAGTACTTTCAGGTCAGTCACAAATAACTACAAGCAACTGAAAAATTTAATGACATGATGACTTGCATTACTGAAGGACAAGCAAAGCTTTCCTGTTACCTTTTTCACAGTCTTGTCAGGTTCAAGAGCAATATCTGGAATGTTGGCATCCACCATGAGGGAAAATAAGTTCAATATCAAGTTGGAATACCTAAACAGAAGAGCAAAGTAGGTAAAACACTTTCTGAATGGTACAAAAGACATTTCATAATTTAAGAACACATCATCATCTTCGTGAATCAGTAATGCTTCAGAGATGCATTCATAACACTTCAGTTGAACATATTTATATTAAAAACATCAGATAACTGATATTAGCAGTGAAAGCTTAACCCTCAAACTGTCTCAAGCTGCCAAAACTGAGCAGACTGCTTGGTTTTGTTACATTTTTCTAAAAATTGTCAAAACATTTATTCGGAGACATACCAAATATGAAAACCGTGTTTTCATATATTGTAAGATTTAATGCCATTTTCTACCGCTAGTATACTAACGATGCTAGAATGTCGATTCAAAAAATTATTTTTTATTAAAAACGGTATCAGTGGTACAGCAGTATTATAGAAACTATATAAATACAAAAGCATTCAACAGCTGAAGTCCTTACAATTATGAGAAATTATTTTCCACGTTGCTATGAGAGGGTATTGCCATAAGAAGTTGAACACAAGTGATTTAACCAGATGCAGGTCTGCAGTTGCTCAGTGAGGCTGTAATAACACTGGTAGGCATGCTGCACTTCCATCATTTATAACCATTAAAAAAGACAAGTCAGAGTAGTCTTCAGTTTTAACATGGTGTTGTAAGTAAGTGTGAATCCCTTAAAGAACACCATTCTGCCCTTGTAGGAAATTAGCTGTAAGTTGCTTTTTGAAAGGATAATTTCAAGCTGTTCAACATAAACTGAACCTTCCCTTCCTCCGTAAAGAGATCTGGTCTCCTTTTAGAGGCAAAGTATGTAACTGACTTCAAAATCTCATATACTGCTTTGCTAAGAGCACTAGGAGCTTCATAGATGACAGGAAATGCATTCTTAGCAACAAAATTGGTTTATTAGCAAGCTGCTGAATATATATAAGGAGAATGAAGTATTTTAACTACACGAAAGGACTACTTCATAGCTGTATTTTACAAAGTAAATACTGCTCAACAAAGAAAAATCTCTGTAGGAAAGTGCAATTACATTAAAAATTTTTGACACCTCATTATTATCTGGAACTAGCACTACCTAACACTAACTCTTTATAACACAACCCTTTAAAATAAACTGTTTGTGCAGAAATCTTCTGCCCAACAGAAGGGCATGTAGTGCCCTTCTATTTCACATTTGTTTCAGCTGTTCTGCTTGACTTTCCCAGGGGCAAAGAGCTGGAATGATGAAAACTACTTTTACCACAAGTTAAAAGAAAGAAAGAAAAGTTACACTACCATTCTGCTTCACATCTGGCTAAGAAATCTGCCCGTGAAGTTGCTTTGGTGCCAGGAACAGACCCCACTGGTTTCAATGCAGTTTTTTTTTCTACTCGAAAGAAACAAATCTCACTATAAAAATGCTTAAATCTCTTAAATATCTTTCTAGATCATGGGTAGCTTCCATTGTAGTTCTCCCTCTGAACTGATCCAGGAGTCCAGAGTCCCTTTGGCTCCCGAACCATACAGAGGATAGGAGCTTACAGTTTACTGGCGTTATTTAAGCAGTGGAAGTTCGTCAAAGAAACTTCAAAGGTCTAGGCATCATTGCTAGATGACACTTAAAAGCTGGCTCTGTTCCACACAGCGAAGACTTTTGGTTCTTGGTGTTTAAAGTAAAAACATTGGAAGCATAAGACTATGTCATTAAAAAACAGAATTTAAGAAAAGGCATTGTGGGGGAGAGTGGGAAGAGACAAAAATTAGGGAAGAGCTGCTCAGTATACTATCCGCAAGTCTCTCCTATGCCCCTCACCTCAATATGTAACTCAGTTATGAGCTAGATGGAAGTCTAAGGATAGAAAAGGGTTTATTCAGTAAGTTTGTTAGCTTCCTCTGGGATCCTTGCATGTTTCACAGATTTCTAGAAAATCCATTAAAAAAAAAAAAAAGGGATTTTAGAAGGTAAAAGCTTCCTGCTTTAGATAGTTGGCTGTCATCCTTACGCGTAAGGCAACACTCTCCGCAAATATGCCAAGATGGTCACAACTGGCAACCCAAATGCATCCTAGGTCTAGTAGATAGCTTGCTGAAACACCTAACAGAAATTCCTAACAGAGTTAGGAATCTGATCTGTAAAAGGCAAACAACTTTATCAGGCAAGTCATCTTTGACATCTACATTACAAAGGTCTCTGGAATGGCTGAACTCCATTCACAGCCAGGCTGAACTAGGAGCTCAGTCTCTCTAGGCTTAAGGAGCTTCAATTAAGCACCTAAACCTGACCCTAAATCCTACTCACATAAATGCATTCATTCTCCTCAAAGTTTAGTACAAGTAAATTTACAAAAATAAATGAGCACTCAGATACACTGGAGGCTGATGAAACAGAACAGGAAATGCTAAAACCAAGGAAGTTCTGTAAAAACTAGGAAATCCAACAAAATAACTTCAATACTTTTCAGTAGAATATATATATACCAAGAAAGAAACCCACAATAGACAAAAGTTAAAATTCTTATTGTCATATTTCCTGGGAACAGCAATTTTTAAGTGCTTAATATCTCATCAAATATATGCCTGATCCTAAGCTCTCCTTTAATAATTTTTTTTTTTTTCACATTTACCAGCCCCTTTCCATATAGATGTCCTAGACCAACTGTTGACATTTCAATTCTCTACCAAATTCACAGTCTCAAACTTCCCCTACAGAGACAGGACAGGAAAGTATAGTTATCTGCAGCCCCCAACCAAAGCCATGTTTACCTGGTGTAACTCACATTCCTATATTTAAAATGCAATTACCTTTTCTGCAGTATAACTGGCACCCCCTCCCCCCCAGCTCATTTCTTCTCAGGACTCCATTATGCTTCCAAGTCACTAACATGTCCCAGTTAGCTATAATAACCTATGGCATTTATTCTTCCAAAATTCCTTCCTAGCAATCCAGGCTCAAGCAAAACTGACCTGATCCCACCAAGCTTCACCTTTGTTTTTCCCTCTTCACCACCTACCCTTGCTTTTAGGAGGCTACATGGACACTGCACTGCCTAGCTACAACCTTTCCATTAGAATCAGCATTCCTCAAGAGTTATCACAGCTTTCTGCTTCCTGCATGTAGTGTTCTTCATTCAGATCTACATGGTTTCCTCTGTACACTATACCAGTGACAAACAGACTAGGGAAAAGCACTCGGGTCCAGCCAGCTGGATATCCCCATCCACAGTGCGAATGTCATCCCAAACTACACCTTGTGTCCCTAGTTACTTCCTACTCCTTTGTCCTCACCTAAGCCCACTAACTCAAACTAAACATCAAACTTCTCACATGACCAACATAGGGGAAATGCTTATTTAGGAAGGATCAATACAACCTAGAACCTCACCCTGCAAAAAACTCTCAGATGTTATGGCTGGATTATTCTTTGCTGGATCCTGCTGAGGATGTGTAAAATGGGAATTCTGGGAGGAAGGGAATACTGACACATAACAGGATTCGAACATCTTTAAATAGGTTCAATGTGTACAATGAAAGTGTAAAAGGCTGTTACAGCCTAAGTGAGAATGCAAGATCTGCTGCCAGCCACAATTTGCCCCGCAACACATTCAGAATGCAGAGACTGTTCATTACAACACTGCTGAGAAACACACGACTATCGTTCAGAAAAAATGGAAAGCATCTCTGCCACCTCCCAAAAAAATCCTGAAACAAAACTAACAAAAACTTCACACCAATGTTCGTATGCCAAACTGCTTCCAACCTAAAACAATGAACAAAACTAGTTTTCCACTTATAAGTTTTATATTGTTTTTTATTTGTTTTCACTGTGCAAAATCCATTCCACCAGGAATCCTGAAACACTGAAGTACAGCACTTCAAAGATGCAGGGAAGTGTCTATACCCCAGGGAAATAAAGATGAAAGAACAGAACACAAATTGACAGAGATGACAAACAGAGTTTGCATTTTGTCTTCGCAATCAAAGGTTATGATTTCACACTTCTTCTGGCTAAGCCGTATCTGTGAACGGGTTTGTGTCAACATACAGAACTAAGCCATTCCACCTCCAATTATTCTTTTTTAAATAAGCAAGTAATCTTAATCATTTTAAGTTCAAACTGCTTGAAGTAATAGTTACCATATTACTAATATTACCCTATGCTATCTTTGTTGAAAGCCTTAAAGATATTTATCCAGAACCATTCAAATATATTGTCCTATTGAACAAATATTGGAAAGACTATGATTACAACTTCAATCCCAGACATTAAGAATGAAACAATCTTGATTTACTGTTTAGTTTTATATCCAAATTACTGCTATACTCCATACTTAACAATCATCTTTGTAGCAAATCATGACATAAATTCATGCAATGGATAATCCTTCACTGACACAACAAATCATTCCATTGAAACAGCACAGTTTAAACAATGAAAAACAACTCAAGTATTTCACAAATAAGAAATACAGTATTACGAAACAGTTTTAAGCAAAATTTAGAATATGAAATATACATTAGCATTTCTGACTGTTCTCTGAAGTCATGAATATTGTTTGCTGATAATATGCTGCTGTTTTGATGTTGCTGATTTGCTTTTAACCCATTAATAACCAGTTTATAAATCAACTCTTTACTTTCTCCTTTTAGCAAGTTAGTAACTACATGAGGCATTTTTATTTCCTATTATTGATTGCCTACTACTTTTCATAGCACATGTAGTTTATATACTTTTCACAGTACTAATTTTTTCCACGCATTTGGAGGTTTACATTATGTGATCTTGGTATTAATGCGAAATTCTTTATTCTCCATTCAAGATGCACTAAATGAACTCAACAGGCAGTCCAAGAGTGCTCACCTGTGCTCTGTTCAAACAGAACAAAGCTGAGCTCCTTGGTTCAGAAAGTGGATCATAAGAATTACAGTTACTGCAAAAGAATGAAGCCGATTCCAAATTTAAAGCAGAGATCTGTTGATCTGTAAATAAATAGGGTCTAAAAAAGTTTTCGCTGTCACAGTTCTGGGTATATACAGAAACTGCTAGCATAGACCATTGCCACTGCTGATAGCTAAATTTTGCCCTGTAGGACCTGAACTCAACTAAGCTTATGTGTTTGCCATCTTCCAGCCAAAGAATTTGATCATCACTAATCTAAACTGGAGAAGGATAAAGCATCAAACAAGTAACGACTTAAAGGACAGTTAATTGATCATCAATATTCACAGAAAAAGTTGCTTAAGGGCAAAAACTTATCCAAAACACAAGATACAATTCAACATCCCACAGGAACTACGAAAAATGCTATTCAGGTTATTAAACAACCAAAACTGGGGGCCCTAACTTGAATGCCAACTACATTCAAGCTCCACGTTACACCAATGGTGTAATGTTTTTATTCCTATGTTTCGTATGAACTCTTGTGACTACATTCAGACTTCAAACAAGTTGTGGATTGTCAACTGGAATATTTTCCCTGATTCATTTACTTCTCTCCTGCTTTACAGGCTCTAATCAGTTTTAGCATAAAACAGTACTGTTACCTGCGGAGATGGAGAAAGGCTGTGTAGCACTGCTTACGGAATTCCTGGTACTGTTCACTCTGTGTGCCTCCCATACCTTCCACCATCTCCTTGTTCAGCTTCATTGGGGGAGGTAGAGGCTTGGGGTCCCGTCCCAAAATATAACCAAAGTCAATGTGAAACAGTTTACCTGTAGAAGAACAAAAGACAAGCAGTTTACACAGTATCAAACCTTAACGCAAAACTTGGAAAAAAGAAAATCTTTAAGTGTAATCTCTAGAAGATACTAAGCAGCTCTCGAAAAAAAATACAATTCACAGTTTTCTGTAAGGCTCGTACTTTTTGTATCTTCAGCTGCCAGTCTGACATTATGGGTTTAGAAAAGTAAAGCTGATTTCTAATTCATTAAGAGTATTCATAAACAAGATGAGTTTTTTCTGCCTTTTTTTTTAAACATATGACGAATATTCACAAAGACTGAATCAATGTTGGAACTGGACATTAGATATTAAATGCACAGTTAGATACCAATTCTTTGTGTCTTCCTTAGAATTTGTTAGCAAATTAAAATATTAATACACACACTGCATTACTTTTAGTATCCAATTTGGTTGCTGTGGCATAAGATATGTTATTTTAGTTATATGTTAAATCTTCCAAAGGGAAAATAAGACTCATGATCGTAAGAATGACTTCTTGAGGCACTAAAAGACCAAAGATTTCAAAGCTGCTCTGAAATTCTTTGATTCGTTTAAGGTTAAAATTTATCAACACTTTTCAAATACATTTAAGAAACATCACTACAATTCCAAATACGAAATTGTATTTTAAATGTGGTGAAGTCTGCATTATACTTTTGCAGTACTAAAATGCAGAAGTTCCATCACTTGATCACTACCTTTTTCCCCCGTAGAGAGATGCTGTAACTAAGTAAGGCAGCCAGATCTGCTCACCATATAACAACCAGGAAGACCTTAGTTTAGAGGAGCCTTAAAAGCGGCCTACAAGAAAGCTGCAGAGGCACTTGTTACATGGGCATGTAGTGATAGGACAAGGCGGAATGGCGTTAAACTCACAGAGGAAAGATTTAGGTTAGACATTATGAAGGAATTCTTTACTTATGAAGGCAGTGAGGCACTGGCACAGGTTGCTTAGAGAAGCTGTGGCTGCCCCATCCCTGGCAGTACTCAAGGCCAGGTTGGATGGGGCTCGGAGCAACCTTGTCTAGTGGAAAGTTTCCCAGCCCATAGCAGGGGGTTAGAACTGGATGAGATTTAAGGTCCTTTCCAACACAAACCATTCTGATTCTGTATTCTCAGATCAACTGACTACATTCAAAGCGTTTTTGCAGCAGTAACTTGACAAAACCTTATATACATATACCTCTTGCTTCAAATGCACAATGCAACTTCTTTTCCTATCAAGAGCTTGCATGCAGCCGTGCTGTTTATAGTATCGCTCAGACCTTTATTGGGGAGTATTCACTGTATTCCCTTTTAATAGCTCTGAACCATACGTGGGACACAATAGGTATCAAACAATTGAAACACCTGAAACTTCAAAACACCTACTAAAATAAAATAAAATAGATAAAATAAACTGAAGATTAAATATTATATAAACATGCAAATAAAAATTTTGTCAAGAGAAATCAAAAATAGTAGAACACATAATTCTTAGGAAGTCAGTTTCTAGGAACATTCTTGACTCATTTCATAAGTGGAAAATATTGACCATATAAAAAAAAAAAAATTGAAAGTGTTCTGCAAACAAATTTCCAATTTTAAGTACATAATTTCAACAATGACTTGGCCCATACCAGAGCTGCATTACAAAAAACATGGTAAGAATGCAGATATGCCAAGAAACATTTATATAAAAAAACAAAACAATGCTACATATAGATGAAATCTATTATGTGATTTCCTTAGAACAGTGAGAAACCATCTTCCTGAACTCTGCAGTAATCAGTAACCAAGAATTAAACTAAGAAGTACAAAAAAAGATGATGTGTGTTTGAACTGTTAGGCAAGTTAAGTTAGCAAAGCTACTCAGTGACATTAATTTAAGTTTTACATGACTAATTTATAGAGAAAAGTGAAGTGCAGCTATAAGATGGAAGACCTTTTAAACAAGAAGGTAGAAAATGATTAGCATGATTGTTATCTAGACAGTCGCACATAGCACAGAACACACACAGAGTCTTGTTTCAGAATTATGGAACTGAACAGCATCCTGGACAGAGATCTGCTTGCCAAGGGGAATTTTAACCTGCAGAATCTGTATTAATTTGAATCTTTTCATAAGCCTAGGTGCACAGCACGCTGAAAAAAAGGGTCAGTAGCTTCAACCACTTTACTGAATAGTAATTTTATATCTAAGTTTCTATTAGAGAAGTGTGCTTGGGATAAGTCATTAGCACTTTTTAATCCAAGAAACAATTTCCATCACAGTCAATTTTCTAAGGGAGATCACAAGGACACTTAACAAGCAGGCAAAGTATCTGCTACTCGATAAATGCTACAAGCATTATATTTTGCATACCTAATTGTGCTACAAAACCCCCACTCCCTTAATAGTATTTTCAAGCTGTTACAGGAGTTACTTTTAGAGCTCAGTTCTGTACACTAACTTTTTGAAGTAGGCACTTTGATATATACACCCCCTCCCACCATTAAGTTACAGAAAATGTTTAATTAAAAAGTTTGAGGGTCTGTTTTCTCTTCATTTATTCAAACCTGTCACCTTGAAGAGTCAAGAGACAACATTCTGAATAAAACAGTAATTCGTGTGGCAGCAATTAAATCTTTTTTTTTTTTTAGTTTGATCTAGAGATAGGGAATAAGAGGCGATAATTAGTAATTTAAATTGCTAACAAAGATGCATCTAAAACACTCAAAAATATTCTAATAGCTATGTTCCTATAAATTAATTAAATACTTACACGTTTTTAGGAATGAAGTACAAAAGACAATGTAAGATGAGGCCATCCAGCATTTATATTATTGTTTCCCTAGATGTGCTTCAAAATTCAGCAAACCTGTAGGCTGGCTCAAAAGCTATGTCAAAAGCTTTCATTTAAATACTTTAATACTTTTCAAATTCATGTACTAAGCACAGACTGAACTGATTTTCAGTTGTGCAGCTTCTCCATGAGCTATTAAACCAGTATATAGTTTTACAGAACACAGACAGAAGGCTCCCTTTGGTGCTTGCCTGAAGCTGGGACACTAGTAAAGACCGACCAGCCAACTTGAGGAGTATGTAAGTTTCAGAGCTTTCTACAGAGACACCGGACTTATTTTCTCTTTGAGGGGTTACAGTTGAAACAAGCAAAGAGTGAGCCTGCTTCGGACAAATTCAATTGGCTGTATATTTAATACAAGTTAACCTGCTCTAGTGGAAGGTGTTCTTGCCCATGGCAGGGGGATGGACTATACGAACTTTACGGTCCCTTTTAAGCCTAACTACTCTGTGATTCTATGATTTATGTCAACAAATAATAAAGTTCTCAAGCTAACAAACTTGATTATTTGAAATCTTTTAATACTAAGATTAAAAGGTTGCAAGTACCTCAAGTGATCACCACAAGTAAAATCTGTATCAGGGTTTAACACTGGACATCCCACTTCCACAGTATTAATGAATGCAATGATTAAACTATCACTCAGTGATTACAAGAACAAGGCTGTAGATAGTTTCTGGCACCTATTTGACAAGGTATAGTGCAAGAAAATACTTAGCAGTAGCAGAAATAGCACAATTAAAAATAGGAACCAGAAAGAGCAACATTAAAAATAGGAACCTGAACACTCCAGCTCTATATAAAGCAACTACTGTAGGTTATATGAACGTCAAACAAAAAATACCACTTTGAGCTAGAAATTACTGTACTGAAGATGCAATTTTAAGAGCACAGAAAATATATTTAATAAGAACTTTTATTCTGTATGAATTAACTCTCACTGTGACTAGCATACTGTCTCCTAACACAGCCTCCACTCCCAATAGGCATCTATAAAGACAGAGGCAAAACTACCAATAACAACTTACTATCTTTTCATCAACTTACACATGCTTTTTTTCTTCAAGAGCACAGCTCCAAAAAACACTACTCATCTGGAATTTATCAGCCTCAGGTATCATAATACTTAAATAACCTTTTCTAGTAAACACAGCTGAAAAACAGTCTACTCAAGAATCAACATCTTATTTGGGCAGCTTTTGAGTGAACTGTGTAACACTACTTTTTCTAATGGCTTTGAACTTCCATGTTTTATAAAACAATTACATTTCCTTTCTTTAATATACAGCATCAGTGCCGCAATACATACACTTCAATCTCTTAGACCATCATGTTTTCACCTCAGCTTCTAATCTATCTTCTTCAGATTTATTATAACTTCATTTAAAGGGCTTTTAATTATTAGACATGCTTATAAATTAAAGGCAAAACTGGACATTTAATTTTGGTTTATTACTGTTCCTGAGTGACTGCTAAATCATACGGGCAATGTGGTTTTTTTTAATTTGGGTCATGTTTTTATCTGAAAGCTAGTTAAGATACCAGGTGAAACATATTTCCTCCTCTGAACATCCTACATTCTTGTAGGGCTAAGTCCTGGAAAAGACTTGGATTTCTAACATTTAGCCACTGAAACCTTTGGACACCTATTTAAAAATCTGAGTTCTTTATAACAATAGCAGACTTTAGGCATCTGAGAAAACAACACCTAACAATTCAGGAAACATCAAGATGACAGAGAAGCATGCATGAAATTCCTGCCCTGTTGGTAAGGCTAGAAGAGCTATTTGTCTGCAACTACATACAGTTCAAGACACACAGGTTTGATGCTGAAAGCGGCTAACTCCTAAAGCCTGAAACATTACATTAGCACTCTTTTCAGAAAGGAGGAAAAATCTCTGCTGGAAAGACTTCAAATAGTGTGTCTCACCTTAAAAACTAGGGCCCTAATGATCACTCACCAATCCCCATTTAAGCTGTTTTACTGAAGAAAAGGCAAGGCACAAAGCACTTACTGACAGGAAGAGGATGAGATGTTTCCAGGAATACGCAATAATGTAGCCTCTTTACAGAATTATTTCATACAAAACCTAAACCCTGCCACTGTTGTATACTGATAAGCTTTTTTTATTTTATTTAGTTTTATGAGGCTGGCTCCATTTTTC